GCCGAGCTGAGACCACCTCTTCGTTAAAGAAACATTCAACGAACACTTACGATCGGAGCCGTCGCTACTCAAAGTTTGACTCGCGGCTTAGCAATATTGCCAAGAGCTGGGTTCGTGTGCGAAATGCAGGCTCCCAGGCCCCAACCCAGACCCTCCAAATCACAATCCACACCTTCACAAGTCACAGGTGTGTGGAAACAGGCACGTTCGAGAAGCACGGAGCAGAATCCGCACAGAGCCAAGGTCCCCAGCACCGCCCTTTCTCTGATGATTGTGTCCCATACCAGGCGCCCATATTCTCATGAGCTTGTCCCCAAGTTCCCTGTCATGTCCATCGAACTCTTAATCTATCCCTGAACCAGAAAGCCTTCATTATTAAAACCGATATGACCTAATCGGTGTGACTTTAAACAGTGTCCCCTGGTCTTAACTACCTGATGAAGCAGGTCCCACTACCCTGCTATTAGTCAAAATTGTCTCGCTATTCTTGGCTTGAGGAAATCGTGTTGAATGTATAGCTTAGTTTGAAAAAAACTGACATCTCCGTAGTGTTGCCTTCAAAAAGAGTAAGGAAAAACCTAATCTTTTTGTTGATCAGTTTTAAGTATGTTCTCATTTCAATGACGATTTCTTTTCGATCCATAAATCGAGAGAAGTGATTATGAAATTTAAAAACGTATTGGGAGACTGGCTACCTTGTTATTTATTTCTAATGTCATCGCACCCTGGTCCGAGGACGTCTGTCTAAAATATTTGTCATTGATTGAGATTTCCTTGTTGGCCCAATGACATTTTTGTAAATGTTTCACGTGGGCTTGAAAAGAAGCCTGCCCCGTGCTGATGGGCGTGTTTCACAATCAGGGACGCAGGACTGGGCGTCCCTGATTGTGAAACACGCCCATCAGCACGGGGCAGGCGCCCTCTGCCACCTCTCCTCCAGGTCCCCATGCCCTTCCCTGTGCTCCTCTTCTCAACTCCTGTCCGCCTGGAACATGCCTCTCCATTCTTTGCAGCTTGTCCAAAGTCACCTCAGTGTCTTCCCACCCACTCGCAGGGGGTGACGAAGGTGTTATAGTGGTCTGAGACCTTAGCCAGCCCGGGCCGGCTGCCTCTCCGACCTCATCCTCTTGCTTTGTCTCCGCCTCCCTGCTGTGCCCCAAACCTGCATCCTTGGGGCTTTGTGCTGGTTGTTCATCTGAGCTAGAACATTCCTCCCCCAGACGCAGGCAGGTTCACTTTCGTTAGGGTCTCTGCCATATTGTCCCTGAAGCGCAGGAGGCCGCCTTCCGTCATCCTGTATTTAAGGGCAAGCCTCCGGTCTGCGTCCCCCAGCGCTCCCCGTCACCTGCAGCCAGTCCCATTTTCCTCCGCCACCCACTGCTACCACCTTCCACGCTGTGTACCTACTTGCTCACCGCTTTCTGTTCTGTCTCCCCACCACTAACTGGCAAATTCCACGAGACTGGAGACTTGTCCTGTTTCGTTCAGCCCCGTAACCGACAAGCCGTACATATGGGCTCGTGACGCAGTCAATGGTGACTGACTCGAAGAAGGAAGAAATGCAGCTGAAGAAAGTGAAGAAGGAGAAGAGAGAGCTCTTTGCGCGTAGCTATTTGGTAGCTCACAGCTTTGCGGCCAGTGTCGGAGAAGGGGGGAGAGGTGGCGTGCGCGCGAGCTCCGCAGTGAGGGACCCGCGGTGCGCGGCCGCAGCAAGCTCCGTGGGGCCGCGGAGGGAGGCCTGGCCTCGCATCTGGAATCGTCCGTCTCTCTCCTGCCTGACGCAAGAGGCAACCTGCCTGGGCCGTGAGGGACCCGCGGTGCGCGGCGGCAGCAAGCTCCGTGGGGCGGCGGAGGGAGGCCTGGCCTCGCATCTGGAATCGTCCGTCTCTCTCCTGCCTGACGCAAGAGGCAACCTGCCTGGGCCTGAAGCGCACGCCTCC